GAGATTCCAACCCGAACAAAACAGTGGGAGATATAAGTTCAGAATATATCACAGTTTCATACCAAAGATTAACAAATGTACGAAAAGCAATATCATTAATCGCGGGGATATACTATAGTCGCTTGACTCCCCTCCGAATTTTGTCTTGTACGTCATTATTGTGGAGTTTATGACTTGATGGACTTCCAATTGCACTTCTGGATGTAGTACTCCATGTGTTGTGATTGGTCGGAAAAATGATCCCGCTGCCTAATAATACAGGCATTGAAGTGACGTCACTATACCCCACACATTTCCGGCCGTTTGTGCTGTTTGGTTCGTTCCTGCCCCTGGACACCTAAGGCGATCATCCTACACAGCAAGCTAGATTGCTAGTCTCACACTTCCTTTGAGACTGCATACTCTCGTGATGTTCAGTTTCGCTTTTCGGCCATCCAGGCGCCGGAGACATGTGAGTCCATGCCAAGAATTCACCCCTTGGGCATTCCGGCATACCCAAAGTCCATGACATGAGACCCATTTGGACCTGATTGAATATTTATTTCAGGAACATTTGCCAGATAACATTTTGGAGACACCTGGCAGGAACGACGCTAATGGGACGGTGAACCCACTTCGTGTGCTCCAACAATGCTCGAAAACCTGAAGCTGTAGGGTATGAGTCAGTGCCTGACATGAGAAGTGTGCTTATGGGATTTTAATATGTCGTTTCACGCCTTGTCATCTTCTCTCGATGAGGCCTTTGTGGGTTAGGTAGTGCACGTGTGAGGGATTCGGGGGTGAGTGGGGTGAGAGGTGAGGGTCTTGTCATAGTGATCCTCGAATGGAACTTGATACCTCCACTCGTGGGTGGAGTGGGCCGGGGACAAGGCGGGTGTGAGCCATGACTCGATGCAACTAGTTTAGGATCGGACATAGAATGGAAAAGCAATGGATCTCTTGGTAACAGAAGCAGTATGGGATGTTGGCTACATAGATCTAGCATATTCTCGGCAGCGATATGCTAGGCTGCATGATAACTAGAACAAACGTCGAGACTACCAGAGCCCAACATTGTTGTCGATGACCCACGGCCATGGATTGGTATATTGAGGGATTTGTCGAAGTGATAAGAGTCTCGACTCCGTATTTTCAGCAGCAAAGTACTCTGGTCGATGATCACGGGTATCCATTTCTTGCAGGTAAGCGCTAGAATTAGAAATTGATTAAGACCGCAGGACACATGCACTGCATATATACGCTTATGCAAAGTGATAAGCCCATGAAGTGTATCGCAGGTCAGTGTTGGCGAATTGTGTACCGGGCAAGGTTCAGTCCACAAATCTATTCACCGTAGGCAAGCATGTTACAGATGCGGTGAGTATTCGATATGGTTCTAAGACTTACTGTTGAAGATCAAGGACCAAACTTAATATTGTTGCGCAATCTGGCATTTTATTTAGACCTCGCAATAATTGCCGATCCTCGGGCGGTTTGCGGATCATATGGTCTAAGCTTTAAATGCAATGGCGGTCGAAATTTTGGCAGAGCTAGAGATAAGGCTCCTCTCAAATTATAGAGGTAAATGAAGCTTCTCTAGTTAGTTTTTTACCATTATCAATGTGGCTACGGCCAGGTGACTCGGGCATTACCAATAGCTATGCAAAACCAGTGGGGCATCAGCCGTTGGCCCACCTTAATGCAACATGTGGGAGGGCTGTGCGCAAACTGCTAAACGCAAAATCGGAGCGACTTTGATTGCTCGAAAAATCTGAGAGCGGAGAAAACTGAACTCCACTCACTCAGGAGAAAAAGAAATCTAGAAGTCTGCCAGGGGGCGACACTCCTGGGATGAGCTGTCGAGACGGGATGAAAAATCAGCGTGGCGAATCCCATCTACTCTTACTTAATCCAAAGATTGGTTAGTTCAAATGTTGACTTAGTAAAATAGACGCAACGACGAATAAAAAGACAATAGAGGCTAAGAAACATCTACACATCTGACTTCTTGTGAATGCTTAACATTCCTTCAATCGGCCGGGAATTTCGCGATGTGCGGGTAATTTAGCCCTACCACCGGGATCCCGGAGCCACAAAAAGTTCGGCCCGATAACAAAACGCTCGGGTGCCGTAGACTAAGTTTTTTAGTGTCCCTACAGTAAGATCCTAAGTAGATGGTTGGTATTTTTTGATACATCGTTTCATATTCGTAAGCTCCAAGCTCTAGCTGATCTCGAATAAATAAAAGAATTGGACTGAACATGCAGATTGCGTTATCAATGCACGTTTTTTAGACAAATCCATAGTTTTATCTTGCATGTGTGAGCGACGGCTAACCAGTGGATCGACTTATCCACTCCTCGTGGGTCGTAGTCTTCTTAAAATGGTAACCCGAGTATCTTGCTCCAGTTTAAGATGTTTCTCAAAAGGGTAATCCGAACAACTTCAATCCACTTTTTAAATTGGAGCGATTGAAGATTTTGATTTTTTCGACTATAGTAAATCTTATATTAGTATGAGAGTAGATGCTAGTGCTACCCTGCACATCCGTTTTCATCTTCATCCAATTTTGACATCCATAATGGGCATTGTTGGCTATTTCAGTCGACCGCGTGGCCATCAGGTGCACGGCGGTGATGGTACTATCACCCCAGGCGAGCCGAAAGTAATTGAGCCTACAATTATCTCAAGTCCTGAGTCTTCTGGTACTGCTACACCTGCGCACATGCTCCCTTCACCTGCTGGCAGTGAGGAACCCCTTATCTTTGAAAATATCCCGCACCAATTTGGTCGTCTCGGTTCTTGGAGAGGATCCTTGATTTTGCTTGTCACTTCCGGATCTCAGTTCCTCGATAACGTTTTTATGACAAGCGCCAACATTGCTTTGTCGTCAATCCAGCAAGATTTCATGGTTTCCAGCACCGATCTGCAATGGATGATTTCTGCATATACTTTAACATTCGGTGGCTTCCTCTTGCTTGCTGGTGCTTTATCTGACCGGTATGTTTCCCTGTCATTATTTTTGTTCTTCCGCAAGGAACCCCTTTTTCTAACCTTCACAGGTATGGTCGAAAGAAAATCCTCTGTCTAGGACTTGCCTGGCTATCTATTTGGACGCTGGCCATTGGATTCGGCCAGTCGTTCATTCAACTAACAATATTCCGTGGAATCCAAGGAATCGGAGCAGCACTTACTGTCCCATCCGCCATTGGAATTATCAGCTCCTACTTTAGCGGTGTTGATCGCACCCGTGCCCTGTCAATCTATGGAGCATCTGGTACCCTGGGATTCTGCACTGGTCTCATCTTTGGTGGCTTCCTGACTTCCTCCTTGGGCTGGAGGTACATTTTCTATTTGATCGTCATCATCACTGGCTCATTAGGACTTCTTGGTTTCATTGTTTTACCCAGCGATGTTCCATCTCAAAAGAAACATGAAAGAATGGACTATATTGGCGCAGTGATGTCTACCGCTGGCTTAATCCTGCTTCAATTCGTGCTTTCCAGTGGTGGTACCTACGGCTGGGATCAGCCATTCATCATCGTGCTGTTGATTGTCGCCGTCGGCCTTCTTGTCGGATTCACCATCCTTGAGAAGTATATCAGCAATCCTATCATGCCACTGTCCTTATGGAAAATTCGCAATTTCGCCGGACTCTGGGTTATTGGTTTCAGTAAGTACCTTACTTCATGACGAGATTTGGCGGGCATTGCTAACGATCACTAGCTGGCTATGGTACCTACCAGAATGTCATCTACTACATCGTCTTGATGGCGCAGGAAGTTGACAAGCTTTCCGCTGGTGACACAGCTCTGCGTTTCTTGCCCATGGGAGCGATCGGATTTATTGTTTCCCTAGGCACAGGTAAACTTCTGGAGTATATGAATGGAAAGCACCTCCTCATCGCTGGACTGGTTCTAGCAGTGGTGGCTCCCATCTCAAGCTGTTTGACCTCGAGCCCTGAGACAGGCTTGTATGTATCTTCACCCCATTTATGAAAGAGTACTACTAAATTTTACAGCTGGCTCAACGTTCTCCCCACATCACTTATCAGCATCTCGTCTGTCTCGTTCATTTTTGTTACGACTAGCACTGTGGTACTGACAAGTGTGCCCGTCGAAGTCAAGAGCTTAGCTGGTGGAATGGTGAGTTTGCTTGTCCTTGAAAATATTCAACGTGATTTACTGACGATCTGAACCAGCTCAACACTGCATTCCAAATTGGCTCCGGTGTTGCATTGGCCATTTCAGCCGCCGTCACCGATGCAGTCGATATCCAGAAAGGACATAGTCTCGCAGAGCAGTACGCTACCGGCCTCTGGTGCTCCGTCGGACTCGCTGGCTTTGGACTCATCATTGGGTTTATTGCCGTTCGACAAAAGGGCATTGGTCCAAAAGACAGACTTGGGGCCGGCCCGGTTGCTATCTGATTTCGTGTCATGGTCTACTTAGATGCATATTCATAGATTATAGATGATATATTTTTGCTTTTTGGATCCCTTTCATATGGGGTTATCATGGAATCAGCGTTTGTTGCAACGAAGGAAAAAGCGGGTTAGACATGCGGCGTCATTTTGATATTGCTAATATTTATTTCTACTTGGAACGTAACTGTTTCAATTCCACGATGGAGTAGATTGATAAGCTCATACATAGATTGGCCAAGCTACCAACTGATAGCATGTGGAGGATTTATCTTTGAATGAAATGCGATTGAGCTTAGGAATGTGGCCTGACAAACAAGGCGACGAGAACCATTGATAGTCACGTGAGTGTGGAAAGCATGCCTCGCCGGATTGAGTACTTAGTCATGTGGGGCTCAACTCCGGAACCATGGATGGATCGCAATGCACTCACCTCTGCTTTCAATACCTTGTTTTCGGTAATTTGAGGAAGGCAAAGAAACGTATTTATCTCCATGCGCCCATACAGGTGGGAGACTCTTGATGAGTCGTTGTCAACCATTCAGCAGTGGTGCAGATGATTGGAGTCTCACCAACCCTTTCATTACAAACACTCACAATGATCGCTAGAGGCAAGATATTGCAGATGGCCGTGGCGGCATTTGCTGCGTATTCTGTTTTCACTGTACTTGTCAGCCATCTTGGAAGCGAAGCCTGGACTAGCCCTTTGCCTCCTTTATCGCAGAATTTGGTGGGCAGTGGTGTCTTCGACCATATTCAAAACCGCACCGTTGGAGTGAGTTCTCATTTCCTGTTTCATAAATCTGTTATTGAGGCCCATATTTCAAATTTAGTTCGAGCATATATATGCTCTCAACATGAAAGAGCGAACCGACAAGCGCGATTTCCTGACGCTGGCAGCTGCGGTGTCAGGGTTCAAAGTGGAATGGCTCGATGGAGTACGACCAGATGATCTGCATCCCAAGGCTATGCCCGATGTAAGCATTATAACTCCCAGCGTATAAGCCTCCTGCTGATAACTGGCTTAGGGGCTGGATACCACGGTGGTAAAGCCCACTGCTGTTGCATGTTGGCGTGCTCATATGAATGCATTGCTCAAGTACGGTCACACCCTAGCCTCCCCAGCAAGTCTATGCTAATGATCGGCCGCTTTTGACTAGTGTGATTAATAATGACTACTCCACCGCCTTAATATTAGAAGACGACGCAGACTGGGACGTTAGCCTCAAGCCCCAGCTACGGGAATTCGCGCGCGGGCTGCATGGCCTGAAGGGAACCGACCAGGTCTCCAAGGAAGCTCCTTACGGGACCGACTGGGATCTTCTCTGGATTGGAGGGTGCGCATCTGGACCGAGTGCCAACGAGACAAGCTTCTATGCTATTCCCATGGATCCCACAGTGCCAAAGTCCCACCATCGATCGACCTGGGGTGGTCCTACGGAAAAATGGAAGGAAAAATATCCAGAGCTTGCGGAGGACTCAACTCGGTTTATTTACCGAGCTGAAATGGGCTGTTGTATGTTTGGATATGCTGTTACACGCAAAGGCGCACAAAACATTCTCTCCGCCCTTTCTGTCGATCATCTAGACAAGCCGGTGGACAATGCCCTTGGCGATCTGTGCGCAGGTCTCTACGGTCGCCGGAAGATTGAATGCTGGGCACCATTCCCTAACCTGATTGGTACCCATCGAAAGGCGGGCTCGGCTTTTCGGGATTCCGATATCGAGAAAACCAACATGGCTGACTTCCATGAAGAGCAAGCTTGGAATATGGTGTACAGCACGAGGCGCAATATACAAAGGCTAGTGGCCGGAGAAGACACTGTATTTTCACAGTGGAAGGACGAAGATGTGTCATGGTCGAGCCCGGAGATTAATCGCAAGGATTTTGTTTATCCTGTGGGTCACCTTTTTACTAATTAACTATATGCTGTCTTATTGGATAGAACTACGCACATCTGATGTACATATGGGACATTTTACCACATTTGCTCTTTGAATGATCTTCATCTCTCAAACCCCGATTGATGGATGCTTCTTGAAGTCAGCGCCAACGGCTACAACAGCGCCTCTTAAACACTTGCACATCTAGTAGACACCACCAGCAAAATATATCTTTTTATTGAAAACAGACAAAACATATATGAAAAAGGAAATGACAATGATAATAAGTAGACTTGGTAAATTAAAACGATATGCTAACGCCACGAGCGGGGGATAGTGCAAATATATTTCCTCGTCACCACTGAAGGGTGTATTTTGAAATAGGATGCCCCTGTATGCCTGTATATTGAACCCAACGCTATGGTTGTTTAGTTCCTCTTACGTTCGTCTCAGAAATGCCAAATGCCTAAGATATCTTCCATTCAAGGCTATCCCCTTTCTTTTCTTGGTTCAGACTGATGACTGGTAGGATATCCCCGGACTCGTTTAGTTAAAGAGTGAACCGCATATTCAATCATGACTTGACCATATGACAGAATTGACTTTGCATTTATTATGGTATTTGCTTTCCTGCTCTCCTGACCTCACTAAAAAGTAGTTGTTACCATTTAATTTCTATATTTTAACCTTCGGGTACCAAAGGAAGGGGATTGTAGTATCATTCCATTTGAAATACCTCGCCCCCTTGGCATTCACCGCTAGCCAATCGGTGCAAAACGTTGAGCTTGGCTGATCTATCTCCTGAGGTCAAGCTCAGCTCAATTGGCCTTTCGATTCTGGCCACAAGAAGGTTGCCGGCTTGTTGTTCAAACCTAGACAGGGGTAGATCCGGTACTTTACCGTTGAACTCTCCATCGCCTTGGTTCCGTAGTGGCGCTCTTAAACTCACTTTTTACACTCTACGCGTCTTGCCTTGGCAATGCTATATCGTTTTTAAGCCACCAAGATCTCCGTGGGCGACTTCAGTATCAAGCACAGCTCTTGTGGAGGAAGAATTATCTCTCACTTTTAGCCTATCAGATAGGGCCCCTTGCTTTAGTACTTGAATGCTTGCCAGTTCTTCGAACTTATGTCTGCGAGGAACAAGTAGTCCAGACCCTTTATTTGTCGTTCCTCTCCTCCTCTGTCGTCAATAGGTCTCATTTTAAACATTCTTGGGCCTCAATCACACGAGGGGCCCTATTTGGCTTTCTGCTTTCGACAGGCATGCCTCCCAGTCGCCTGGCCTTCGAATGACTTGGCCAGAATGGTCCAGGCGTAGCTGTTCTCTTCTTGGACATCAAAGCCTTCTGTCTTTACCTTGCCGAGGAAATATCATGCAAAACAGTGGAATGCTAGTACGCCGGTCCCAAGAAGCCGAGTTAGCCGTATCTCAGGCGCTTTCAGATGTCTTAAATATCGGAGATTTCCACATCAAACTTCTTCACTGTGTGGGTCATTGTCGATCACGCCGATCTTGTGCTTTGCCAATCTTGTGTCGCGTACCTTATATCTACCAAGCGTACCGATGACACGCTTCCTTGGCCTTAGGGGCAATAGCCTCAATATCGCAGCAATTTTGGGTGTTCTCATGCCTGGAATCCTCTCAATTGGCTACAATGCGTCGTCGCTTGGAGGTGTCTTAACGCAGAAGAACTTCGAAGCCCAATTTCCGGAGATCGACATCGCCAACGCTGAGAATCGGTCACAAGCATCAAAAATCCAAGGCACTGTTGTGGCTGCCTACACAATCGGAGGCTTTCTGGGAACACTCTCCTGTATTTGGCTGGGTGACAGGTTCGGCCGTCGCCGCACAATTATGGCAGGATCAATTGTGCAAGTGATTGGGTCTACTTTCATGGCCGCTGCAAGGTCACTCACTCACTTGATTACCTCCCGGATAATACTTGGTCTCGGTACGGGTGTTATTCTTGCCACGATTCCCCTCTGGCAGTCTGAGATCTCCCCTGCCAAAAAGCGGGGTGCACATGTCGGCATGAAAGGAGTCTTTAGCGGCTTTGGATGCGCTCTTGCTCTTTTCCTGGACTTCGGGATGTCTTTCACTCATGGAAGCGCCGCCTGGAGACTCCCTTTTGGTTTTGTGGTGTTGCTCTCCCTTGCTGTTCTAGGCTTCATCATACTTCTTCCCGAGTCTCCCCGCTGGTTGATTCGAGAAGGCCGAATGTCTGAGGCTAGCGAAGTTCTAGCAGCTCTAGAGGACACTTGTGTTGATGATCCCTCTGTCGAAGCAAAGATCAAAGATGTCCAGATGTCCCTAGAATTGTCTGGCAAACGGTCACTCGGGCAAATATTTCACATGGGTGCCCAAAGGACTTTTCATCGGGCCATTCTTGCTGGTATGGTTATGCTTTTCCTACAGCTTACCGGTTCCACAGTCATCACTTTCTACAGTATGTCCACATCTCATCGAAGTTATATTGTCCAAATAGTTTCACTAATTTTATATGTGTCTAGCGACTGCGATTTTTGAGAAGAATCTCTCGCTCGGCAATTCAACATCCACCGTTCTTGCGGCGGTCTACCAGCTTGTTGGTCCCATCGGAGGCACCGTATGCGTTCTCAAAATTGAAGGCTTTGGTCGACGTGTACTGCTGCTGGGCAGTGCGATCGGAAATGCTGTGTGTTTGGCCTTGGTAGCCGGACTTGGAACACAAACCGAGAACCCGCTCGCAATGCGTGGTGCCGTCTTTTTTATTTTCCTCTTCCATTTCAGTTATATCATCGGATTTGGCGCGATACCATATCTCTATGCCACAGAGATTGCACCCTTACATCTACGAACGACTATCAACAGCTTTAGCATCAGCATCTCCTGGGCTATCAGCATTCTGATCACTAATGTCACGCCACTCGCGTTCAACGCCATGGGGCAGACTTACTTTGTCATCTTTGCAGGATTCAATGCGGCTATGGTCCCTATTATCTACTACATGTTTCCGGAAACCGCTGGACGCAGCCTCGAGGAAATGGACAGGATATTTAGCCTCTCTCGAGGCATGTTGGATGTTGTGAAGGTGGCTAGGCTTCTCCCGCATGGGCAGTCAAGAGACCTTTCGCTTGGAAAGGATCTTGTCTCTGATCTCAAACAGCCAGAGCTTCAGCTTCGGGAGGTACACTCAGCTTGACCCCCTCCTTGACCGAATCGGCATTGTATACAACTCCCCTTAGTGTGACGATAACAAATTGGAGCGCAAAATCGTAACAACATAAACACTTGGACCTGTGTGTTACCTTTATTTCCAACCGAAGAACTTACGGTAACAACATTGTCAATTTTTACCATGGAATCATATAAAAGTAATATCTCGTAGAGCTAGCAGTTTGGTTTTGTGATTCAAACCTTGTTCATATCTCAATGCTTTTTGCAGGCGGGGGCTACGAAATTCCTCCAAGGATTGTATTGCACCTCGCCTAGGATCTTGAATTACCCTCTTTCCTCTTTCCTGAAAAGACCTACGATAAAAATACTTGTCAGCAAGAACCGGGTTACGAATAAGGTTTAGCTTACACCGGACAAGTTTTTATTTCCGGTGGCGTTCCACATCCCGGTGATATACAGAGTAGTTTTCCACCGGATGGAAATCGCCCGTATTTCCCCAAGAAAAGAATGGTCTGACCGCCATGGTCACTGGTGCTAATGGCACGTCTGTCACCCCGTTCTATCTTCTCGGATATACTGGTTCTCACTACTGTCAATTATCTTAAATTACTTGATCGAAATTGCCGACTGCAACAGCTGTTTTCTATGCGAATCACCTGAGCGCTGGACCAAGATCACGCGTGCTTCTCCAGATGGAGCTAAATACGACGTGCGGTCTGCATCTTGGTAAGAACCATTTCCCAATGTTATCTATAAGTCATCAAATAGGTTATTTAATTTAGGCCCCTGCCAAATTGCCACAAGAAGAGTCATACCCGAAGTGCTCTTGGAGCCCAAATTCTACTACAATCAGAAGACTACTAAAGGAGTTCACAGCAAAGCATGCAATTGGATGGAACGCCACACATCCAGCCAATGCCACCGGAGCTGTTTCTGATGCAGGTATGAACTTCTGCCTTCCCCTTGGAACTTATGCAACTATGCAGAGACATCTACAGCACCTACTAGAGTTCCCCTCCGATTTAGCCGCGAGAATGAATGTCCAGGTTCTATCGGGCGCTCAAATGAATCTTGTAAAATAGGCTGCTTTGACCGACAGCGCAGAAAATGAAAGCTTCAATGCCACAAACGATTGTGTTTTCACTTGGGGAATATTCTAGCTGAAGCTAGCTGCTGCGTTTGGTATCACTTGGAAAGACCGGACGACTCTGAAGATGTGAAATATCACGAGTACCAAACCGACTGGAGCCCACCTCCAAGAGACTATGGTTCCCCGGCTAGAGCGCGCTACAAGTAAACGCTTACTGACTGGGCAAAGAAGCCAGAAGTACAAAACATACGGAAAGAAATTGCGGAGCAGCACGATCTTAGCCATGAAAAACTCTCAGACGTCGACCGAGCTTTTTGGATTCTTGGATATGAATATCTTAATGCCGTTTGCTTGCAAACGGGGTAAGTTGAAACCCCAGAAGAATGATCGGAAAGAACATACTGACATGCGTTTTAGTACGGGTAAAGCGAAGAAACTCGGTTTCTTCGGATATGTTGATGCCACGGAATCAATTTTCGAAAGTAAGTTGAGCCATACTTTTGCCATCAAATACCTCTCTCGATCAATATAGTGACGGACGCTACTTAATGTCACACAGCACTAGGAGAGTTTGTTGATCTGGGTCTGGTGCCTGCTTTCTAGAACACCGAGTAAATGAAGATTGGCACCCAGCCGCATGAGAAAAGCTTTATAGAACTTAGATACGAGCATTTGGATATAGCCAGAGAGCTCAAAAATTTATGATTCTTTTTTTCAACAATAAATGGTCCAAACATAATCTGTCGCCATGTGGAGATCTCTGCTCGAGATAATTATGCTATAGTTGGTTCAACCTTCAACCAGATGATCTCAACTAACGGCATCACCGTACAACTTTGAGGAATAATTCATATGCGACCAAGTCATTGCGTTTAAAAATTGCGAATATAGAGGTGGCACCGTTTAGTGCTTAGCGTGTTACAATAGTACCGCTATCGTAGACTACCTCCAGGGCTAGATGGTAGGTAGTGACAAATCAGCATTTTGCTGACACACGAAAGGAGGGCGGTTCCAATGAGCAACGACGTTAATGATGGCCAGAGATAGTAAATAACGCAAATGACACCCGCTAAGGCTCGGCTCGCATAAGGCGTAATGGGACTTGGCGATGATGTGCCCAAAACCGCTAATACAATCCTGGCCCTATGCCACCAGGCGTTTGTCTGCCGCTCCCGCAGGCCCACAACGCTCCCTTTAATGTATTGGCCCTCGCAATTATGTCCCTTAGCTGACGCCATTAAAACTGTTACTAAGAAAGTAACAGCCCCCTCCCAAAAACCTCCTTTTATATGCCAGAAAAACGGGGCATTCTCGGGTTGATATTGGCTCCTAGCGACCGAGAGACGTAGTCTTTCAACATTCATTTGCGGCTTACATCCGTAGTTCCTGTCATGACTGCATCATAAATCTCTAAGCTTGTTCTTACGTACTAAATTACCCTATCTTAGCCCCGAACAAGACCTGAGATCCTAGAGAGCTGTTTCTCCTTTCTTGGACATCTGACCGTTGGATGGCCCACCAGCCAATTGAGATTTATCCTAATCAGTTATTGCACGGGTGTTGCAACAATTGCCTTTTACAGGAAATTAATCATAGATCTGTACACCAGAGGGCGGGCAGCCAAATCCCAAAACGAGGAGCTATACAAAAATGCATTACTTTGAGGTTTTGAAGTAAGATCGTGGCGCCAGTTTATATGAGCCAAGTTAAGGAAATGATTGACACAAGACGCTTGTTGCTCAGCATGACCAATGTCTAGGCGCCATGAGCTCAGCAAGTATGCTAGGCTAGTTACTATAGTGTATCTTCTTCGATCTCTACTTGGTGCTTCAAAACAATGGCCTCATTTGCCCCTCCAATGTTGAAATAACCTATGGTCCACAACCAGGACTTCATTTGCACGCCGGCTACTTGTAATATTGTGGGTATCGTATGGAGCAAAAGACGCGTAAAATGGAGGGCCAAAAAAGAGATATGTTATATAGATGTTCATGCGACCCATCTATTACTTTTCTCTCAAGTACATACAGCGTTGGCACAACAACCTTGACTCTTGTGTCACCTTGCTGCTTTTCACGAAGAAACTTTCTCGGGTCTCAACACACTTTTTAGCTTCTTTGAAGCTTCTTCGAAATGCTCTGGCGGCGATCCTTGGGCAAACGAGCTATCGCGCCCGTCACTGGGGGCGTAGGCCAGAGGGAGCAGGTCACCAATGGTACCTTCCAATATGTCGGCGAAGGGGGAGGGAATAATTCGGGACTCACGTATCAGGACGCCACTGGCGCTCCAATTGAGAGCAAGTCCCCGTTGGGATACTCTGTCGGCCCCGTTACAGTTACCTTGCTGAACATTACTATGATGATTGGTGCTGGTATCTACTCCACACGTAAGTGCGACAAAACCACGCATAGCCAGATATGGCAGCTGACATGGCGAAGCATCATCTATTCTGTCGGGTACTGGCTCAATCGGCCTGAGTTTTGTCTATTGGACTCTTGGTTACTTGGTATGTCCCACCATTCATAGTGAAGCAGCATCGGCTAATTATCTTTACTTCTTTCTAGTTATGTCTCGCGTCTGGAGCTGTGTACCTCGAATTTACCGCTTACTTCCCCAGTCGATCGGGTTCGGAAGTCGTCTTCCTCGAACAGGCTTACCCTCGTCCAATGTGGCTCTTTCCCACCACCTTTGCGGTTCAGAGCGTCATTCTTTCGTTTGGAAGTGCCAATGCTACAGGTACGCGGAGTGAGCACTTACGCTCTAGTATAAGACATTAACGACCAATGACAGTTATGGCCAACTATTTAATCGCCATCTCTGGACACGATGGCACCGAGTGGAAGATCAAAGGAACAGCTCTGGCCTGCTACAGTCTTGCTACCTTGAGTACGTTCTCAATACATCAATTTCTTTGCATTTTGGACACTGACGAGGTATAGGCCTGGTGTTTAACACGAAATACGCATACTGGTTCTCGAATGCCGTTGGGATTGTAAAGATCTGCACCTTGCTCTTTGTTATTGTCACTGGTTTTGTTGTTTTGGGTGGCAATACCAAGATCGAGAACCCCAAAGCGAACTTCCAAGATGCGTGGTCGGGAAGCGCTACAGCTACTGGATACGGCCTAACTACCGCCTTGTATCGTATTATTTTCTCATATGGTGGATATAATAACGCCTTCAATGTTGCCAACGAGGTCAAGGTATGAAAGCCAGAGATTCATGTGACAGAGCTGAGACTTAACACTTCCGTTTTGATAGAACCCCGTCAGATCACTCAGAATATATGCCACTGTTGCGCTTACTACGGTGTATGTTCTATACATGTTGGCAAACGTCGCTTTCTTTGCTGCTGGTTAGTTAGCGAGATTTGGTCTGATACTAGGATTACAACTTATTGGATGTTATCACATAGTTCCGAAGGACGAGATAGAGAACTCTGATCTGACTACTGCAAACCTGTTCTTCACCAAGGTCTTCGGTAATAGCGGTGCAGTTCGTGGCCTCAACTTTCTTATTGCCCTGGCTTCCTTTGGTAACATGATTGCCGTGATAATTGGCTTATCTCGGCGAATCAGGGAATGCGGACGACAGGGCGTTCTGCCCTGGACAACGTTCTGGGTATCGACTAAGCCCTTCGGCACACCTTTGGGGCCATACGCTGTTATTTGGTCTCTGACTGCATTAATGATTCTAGCTGTTCCTGCTGGAGATGCTTTTACTTTCGGTAAGAATTTTCCCGGTAGAAGCTAGCCGAAGGGATTGTGATGCTGATACTGGGACAGTCAACGATTTGAGCATCTTACCATCTGCTGCATTTAATTTAGCAATGGCAGTTGGCATCTACATTGTTCGCTGGCGTCGAAAGAAGGCCAACCTTCCGGAACCCGAGTTTAAGGCCTGGCATGTGGTGATTATCTTTAATATTCTGATCCAGCTGTACCTCATTATAATGCCTTGGTACCCTCCTGCAGGTGGCCAATATGCAGGTGATGTCAGCTTCTGGTATGCGACATACGCCGTAACAGGAGTTGGAATGTTAGTAAACTTGATCTTCGTGTCTACCCTGCTACTTGTACTGACGAATAATAGTCTCCTTGCTTGCGCCATCTATTACTGGCTTTGGGCATTCCTTATTCCCAAGTGGAGGGACTATAGCCTGCGACAGGAACTCATCAGTCTGGATGACGGAGCTCAGAGCTACCGACTTCGGAAAATACCTAATCCTGAGGTCAGCGAATGGGATGAAAGGCACGATGTAACTGGCCGTCTCATTGAGAACCATGTCGCTGAAATTCAGGTCTTCGAAAAGGGTACAGAGCATTTTTAAACTGACAGCAAGTCGTATGAGAGGGAGGGAGTGAGACCCCAAGACCCCGATACTACTCGTGACAGGGATTATCTTTTAGGTAGCCCGACGAAGGATGGGACGGTGTGAACGTGATGTTAAGTGATTGTCATGTAGCAAATACAATTGACCGGACTAAGAAATATCCATGACGCTATTTGTAGCAAGATATGGAGGGCCCAACTTAGAACCCATGTTATTAAATGTCTAATTTACGCTTTGCAAATAATCAAGTAGAGCAAACGAGTTAACAGAAGAGTGATCGCACGCAACTTCAGCTCGTAATTGAGCTTGGTTATAATGCCGGTGACTCAAGATGCCGACGGTGCTTCTACATATCCTTGACAACGAGGAAGTTGAAGCCATAACTGCTTGTCATGCGTGCGGTTGTTTCTATGATTGGGGGTCTTTTCATTCGATTATTAGTTTGTATAAAAACAGTTGTCTTTGTTTTGTCTAAAAGATTGGATAGCAATATTAATTCGCCGGCAATAAGACATAAGCACTACCGCAAATACTTTGACTCCCTTTAGTAGTTAGTTGGTTGCTCTTGCTAGTACAGGTACCTCGCATCTGTACAGAGTCTATGTTTTCGGTCGTCAGGAATAACACTTCTTACGCATATGGGTGGCTGTCGCACCTTGGACTTGGTGATCGTTGGGCAGCATTGATTCGGAGTAGTAGGTAAGGAAGGATATCCCGAGGGCATCTTAGCGAAGAATTGCCACCCCATCTCTCCCTCGAGGGCCGCTCCAAATGTCAATAACAGTGGGATTTGCTACGGAACGCTCCACAAAGAACTTTTTTCTAAAGAAAAAAAAAGTCAAAACATACAACAGTAAGGATTCGCTAGTGGTCACCCACCTAACTACTAACTTACCGGCGTGTGGCTTAAGTACGGCTGAGCGGACGGGAAGCCCTGTTCTCCACACCCTGTGGTCGTATGTACTAGATTCAGTAGTAGTAAAAGGGATATGTATCCTTTGATTAGGATAGCCAGTCTAGTGGTATTGCCCGGGTGAGTATAGGGTGAGCGCCGCTTTACGGTCGCGCGACCCGGTGTGAGAAGGGAGAGAAGGGTGAGAATCAGGGTGAGAATCACCCCGAAGTCGCGCGACCAATGAACTAACCCTCTTAGCTAAGGGACGGTGGATAGTTATTGGATGGGATAATCTTTGCGTTAAATATGCATCGTCTGTCACCTTTTTACCTACTAACCAGCCAACCAAAAAGTCTACGTCTTCCCGATGCGAGTCAATTCGCCAGACTCATCTTAAGCCATTATGATACTTTTTTCCAAACATGTACAGGCCTAGCAAACCCCTCCTCGTCTCTCTCAACTTTCAGTATCCTCTCAAATCCCTGCGCTTTCAACTCATCCTCAAACGGTGGCCTGATCTGGATTGTCTTATACGTCTCTCTCAATTCTTTATTCTTCTTTGAAGCTCTCGCATAATTGCTCATAGGCTGCGGCTCCACGACGAGATAACCTCCCTCATTCAGTATGCTTCGTATGTGCGCAAATAGCGTCAACATCCCGGAGTCCCCGTTGTTGAGATGTATCCACTTGGTCACAGAGAGCAGTAGGACAACGTCGAACTTGCCCAGCGCGGTACCCGTGTACGCGGACGCGTCCACGAAGTCAAAGTGCTCAAATGTGCATGGCCCGTCCGGGTACGCCGCCTTCGCCTGCTCGATCAGCCATGGGTCGATATCGACGCCGACTGAGGCGGCCGCGCCGCAGTGCGCTATCGCCTCATGGGTCAGTTTGCCTGCGTTGCAGCCTAGGTCTATGACTCGCGCGTTGCGGAGGATATCTGATGGGAGAATTGAAAGGCGCTCGTCCGGAACGGTGGGCGCCCGGAACTTAGCGTAATATTGGTGGTAGTTGCCATGGCGCGCGGCGAGGTGCGTAGCTTTGAAGCGCTCTGCTTTGGAGAGTTCTGTTGCAGGAGGGGGATGGTGATGGCATGCTTCTGCCATACTTGGAGATAGTGCGAGCAGAGAGGACGTGTTGGTAATGATATTGATTATGTCGAAGAAAAATGTGTAATGATGTGACTAACGTTAAGTTTCAGCACACTAGATTCGCCATATATTAGGAGTTGAAGGTCTTGAAATTTTGTGATCAATGCCAATTTTGTTGCGCTCCGCAGAGGTTTGTAGGGTTTGCATATTCTCGCTGCCTGAGGCACTTAGCAGGCCTAGCAAGTAGCCGGCTGCCAGATTACCACTACTACCGGGGATTAGTGATCTATAGAAGAAGGGAGCATTATTTCCCGAAGTACGATGGCGAAAGGGTGCGAAAGGGTGTGAAAGGCCATTTTAAGGAGTTTAAAGACTCGATCCTTTCGGGATATCCACAATATGACGTCAGCTTTGCTTACTGTTTTTTTCCGCGTCTTCGGTACTCGTGCAACCCTAACATCCATACCGAGGTCGTACTCAACATGCCATTCAGACAGGCGCTTAAAGGCATTATCGATAAGGCAGACAAGGCTTGGGAGGAAATAAGCTATCGTGCCCCTCAGCCGGTACCCTCGTACAACAAGCCTCCCCCACCGCCTATTCCAACCTCTAGCAAACCACCAGTAGCTTATCAGGAACAGCACTCGCAACCCCAGATCTACTGGCGGCCCAATTTACATCCTCAAGTACCGGTGTCCTCCAACTTTGACCACGAACAGGGTCAACATGGATGGGGCAACAATGAGTCGCAGAATTATATCGACAGCCCGCAAAACTCATTCCATTCAACCCAGGGCGATGCGGTGATCGTGCGCGCTCTGATCAACCACGGGCATCCCGATCCTGCCCAGAAGTTTACCAGCGCCAGACTGTCGAGTCTCCAGACCCTCAGCCGACCACGGGGCTGTCTGTCGGCCAGAATTACGGCGCCGGTGGCCCGAGGTATCTGGCCTGCCTTTTGGCTGCTGCCTAAAGACCCCTTCAAGTGGCCCGAGGATGGAGAAGTCGACATAATGGAAGCGTGGAACGGCGATGCTGTCAACCACACTTGTCTGCATTGGGGCCACTTCAACGGCCAGGACTGGAACAAGCATCGCGTCCTCGAAACCCCCATCCCCAACATTAGCTCGCCGGTGGGGGTGAGGTACGATTTTATCTGGGACGAGGACGAAACAACGGGCAGGGGGCGCTTGGTCTGGTTGATTGATGGCACGCCCATCATGAGGGCCGAGAAGCCGCCCGGCACGAGGAAGATGAGTGAGTTCAGAATCCTCATCAACATCGCTGTTGGTGGAAATGTCTGTCAGGGAAATATGCCCAGCGATGGATGCTACGTGACAGTGGTTCGTGAGTTGGCCATGTGGGACGCGCCGCCTGGGGGTTGGAATGAGTTTGACAGGGCTTGGAGGTTTTCCAAAGATGGCAATACCATGTAACGAGAGGAAGGAAATTTACATTGCAAAGTAAATCAACTATACCCACATCCCCTACTTTCTACAAGGTATCTCTGACTAGGCGAATGAGATGAGTTGTCGCATAGTGGTAGACCGAAATTAATTGTTTAAACAAAAATTGAAAGCGATGCATCTTGGCTTGTAGTTAGTTATTCTCGCAGTTCGTGCCTTACGCAAGAATCAATCAATCCACTAAAAAATATTTTGATTCTTTTATAACTAAGCTACTTCGCATTCCTGTTGGCCCCTTGGTTGCTCCAATTCCCATATTCACTGATCAACAGCAGTCTTTACAATTGGCAGTATATATTATTTATTTTTTCAATAGCACTAAGGGCATATATACTAATAAGGTTTATAAGACTCTAGTCTTAGAAAGCACCCCAACCGAAGATATCATTTGATTAAGATATATAGGAAAGGGCACAGATTAAGATTGTATAGACAGAACCGAAGTTGTTGGCAGTTCATTTTGGAGGGTACACTTAACTTATAGCGTGGTGGTGGGATCCAGCTATATGCCCAACCGGAGACTATGAAAACCGGGGGCGAATCGCTCGGAGATAGATAAATATGAAACCCGATATGAGACACCGAAGTACTTAAAATCCGTTGGGGGTGAAAGTTCGAAGTCCACTTGGTGGTTTAGCAAGTCAGCGTGATGTGAATACGACTCGAAGTTAGCCGTTTGGGAGACTCACCAATCACCTTGGCGTGGGCCCGGTTGCTTGCTAACCCCGTCCCTTAACTCCGAACTATGGCAAGTGTATATAAATCGGCAAATTTGGGACTCTATGTTTCTTCATCTAAACAGTTCTATAATACAGATCAACCAGGGGTTTGTCAGACTCCTAAGTCAGATTTGTCGTCCTACGCTTGAAAAGCACACACCATGTCCGCCCCTCTTGAGAGAGTCGCTATAGTTGGTGTAAGTGCATCGGCATATCTGTTTGCCATGCTATTTCTGACATATTCTAGGCAACCGGTCGTATCGGAGGTGCCTTTGCTGAGGCACTAGTGAAGACAGGAAAACACACTGTCACAGCCTTAACCCGCCCCGAGAGCAAAGGCAAGCTCCCCGACGGAGTCAAATCCGTAGGTGTGAACTACGACGATGAAGCATCAATCATCGAAGCCCTTAAGGGCCAACAGTTCCTCGCTATCACTCTCTCAGTGGCCGCTCCTGATGACCTTCATGCCCGGATTGCCGCCGCTGCAGGCAAGGCCGAGGTCCCCTACGTCATGCCCAATGTCTTCGGGTATCCCATCGAGCCTAAAGGCGTGACAGAGGATGACTGGTACAGCCAGTTAATCCTGAACCGGATTGGTGACGTCGAGAAGAATAACTTCTCCTCCACGATCAAGATGTCTTGTGGCTTTTGGTACGAGTGGAGCTTGGCGCTTGGTAACCAGTGGTTCGGCTTCAGCATCAAGGACCGCAAGGTCACCTTCTTCGATGATGGTAAGCGAATGATTACAGTCAGTACATGGGACCAGTGCGGTCGGGCACTGGCAGGACTCTTGAGCCTGCCGGAATCTGAGGGACCCACGTCTGTTGCCAGCTTTAAGACCAAGGAAGTTCTTATCAGCAGCTTCCGTGTCTCCCAACGCGATATGCTCGACAGCCTGCATCGGGTACTACATACTACAGACGCGGATTGGGAAATTTTGTATGAGCCTACTGCCAAGCGCGTGCAAGATGGGATCGAGGAGATGAAAAACGGCATCTTTACTGGTTTCCCTAAAACGCTTTATGGTTCCGTATTCTTGACTAGCAACCACTTCAGTGATTATGCGGCCACCATGCCGTTGGTTAATGAGCTGCTAGGTTTGCCTACTGAGGATTTGGATGAGGCGACAAAAAGGACGGTACATATGGTCGAAAGCGGCTGGAATCCGTTTCCAGAATTGAAGTAAAAGAAGTGTGCCAGGGATTAGGAGTTTATTTAGAGTATTGCACTGGAAGATGTTAGTTTCAATGGGAGCAGAGGCCAAATGAACCCTTGAACAATTTGTGGCCATCGGGCCAGCCGGGGTTTTTGCCAGACAGAACATCAGCACAAAGGAGACTCTTTCAAGGTGTACGCTCCCGTTTACACTAAACAAATCCATTCTCAAATTAAAACCTATCAAATATCCCTACCGTTGGGTATCAAAAAACCAAAGCCCATATTTGACAGATTACTGATATACTCGTTGTAGACAACAATTGTAATTGGTCAAGGAAAAGATGGATTGAATCAAATGTTTACTTAATTTCATATAAGTGTTGAGTTATTCGTGAGCATACTCGTTACATTTCAACCAGAGAATGGAAGCATCCAGTGTTCGTAGTGTGAGCATGCGAACGAGGTGCTTTCTTGACCCGTCGCTTGGTGGGGGTAGCACTCCGTGGCGGTATTGAAGCAAGGCTGTTGGCGTATGTCGCGACGGCGAAAGCTGTAGCCTTCGAATTGATTAAAAATGCCTCGTGGTTGAGATTGGTGAAGTTGTCCCCAGCAGCATGATAATTCACATCGTAGGATATATTTGCTTGGCCTCCGAACAGCTTTGCCTCTTCACTAGTCTTGACGCCCTCGGCACCAGTGAAAATACCACCTGCGGGAATTCCACGAGAGATGAAACCGTCGTAGTCGGAGCGGCCATCAAACGCGGTTGGAATATACGGCAGTTTCTTGGACGTGTAATATTTCTGAAACAGGGCTTCGATCTGGGCAGAACCCGCTGGTCCGGTCTGATTGAAGGCGTCGCCATCGCCATCATAGATCATGAGTGCGTAGTTGGGCGAGGCGATCATATCAAAGTTGAGGTAAAGCCTTATTTTGGCTAGTTCCTCAGAGCTCAGGTGCGAGGTGTAGTACTCACTACCCAACAAGCCGAACTCTTCAGCCGTCCAAAAGCAAAACCTCACGGCGTTCTTGACAGAGAATTGCGTCAACGCTTTTGCTACCACGAGGTTGCTGATGATCCCGGAGCCGTCATCGTTGATGCCCGGACCGGCTTCGACTGAGTCGGTGTGACCCCCTAATGAGACGACATTATTGTGATCACCACCTTTTGTCTCTGCAATCACGTTGAACGTCGTGCGGTTCTCGACTCTGCTGTCTATCTTAAGAGATACAGTAGCGACGCCACTGGTTGCTGCAGTGAGCAGAGCCTCGCCGTCGGTCTGCGAGATTCCGCCAATGGCGGCATAAGAATTGGATACTCCACCCAGCGTTCCACTCAGAGATCCAGCAGCGTTGTTGTAAACAATCACCGCAGCTGCCTTGGCCGCAGCAGCCAGCGTCGACTTCTCTGCGAAAGTACATTCTCCACGCTTGACTAGGGCGATTTTACCAGCCACGCCGGTCGGGTAGTCCGATGCACTGCATCCAACATTCGAGACCACTGCCACATCCGAAGTAATATCAACACTGGGGCTGTATGTCATAGAGGCCACCTGGATGGACTCGCCGTTGAACGTCAGAGAGGCATCTGCTTTAGTCCAAGTGTGCACCTGTGGCTGCTTGTATACATCATAATAGCCGGTCTTCTTCAACTCGCGATAGAGGAAGTCAACAGTATCGTTGTGTGCGGCACTGCCAAAGACACGATTTCGCTCGGGATACGCGTAAGCAAAATCCTCGAGCCGTTGCGACCCCTTCAGGAGGTCTTTCAGCCGAATCTCAGAGGCAAGTTTATCCTACTAGGTCAGACTACCTGATAGCGACGGTAGAGATGCATCATGCGTACATACCGGTGAAACAGGGGGCTTCGGCCGGCCGGCCAAGGCCATGGACAAGTGGCATATCAAGAGAAGCAACTTCATCTTTAATTGATTCACGATTTGATATCCATTCGTAGCCAGAGGCAGGAAGGGCCTTCTTATATCTACTCTTCAGGATGTCAGGGTCCATCTGCAGCACGCGATAACAAAGTGCAATGGTGCGTTATTGGCACGACCCTGATTGCAAACCAAGAGGCTGGCTGTTCTTGGCAAAGGAGGAAGCAATTTCATAGGACCGGCTGGTGTCCGGAGCCCAGACTTCAGGCGGGACTCCGACGGCACTTGGGAAAGCGAGGGCTGAGGTTACAGTGCCAAGTTCGGGCTCCCGCTGCTTGGCGTTCAATAAAGGGATTCAAAGTGGCAAGATAGTCGGGATAATAACACTGATGCGGGGTTGCGTTCAGGGCCCCTAGTTCCAACGAGCAGCATACATCAGCACTTCGCAAAATCGAACAGGTACCACCTTCTGGATGGACTACAAGACTAGGCTACATCAAAGCCTAAACCTAGGCCTAGGGCAGTCTGCGGGATATCCGCACACTATAAAACTGTTTATCATCTAGGTCATGAATAAGCTCAAGCGTAGATTTAGCTTAGTGTCGATGCCATGGTTGATTTCGCCACTAGTATGTCAGTTCAACGAGGGGTATTGTTGGGACGTGCACTTATGACAGGTAACAAACCAAGATAATCCGGTATTTTTACAGCGCAAGGCCAAGACATCGGGGTTTCTCTGTTTCTCTGCGACTATGCTCAAAACAAACTAGTGTTCCTTGGCACTGGGGTCAAGGGGTATCAAAGTGAGTCGGCCCGCTAGAGGTCCCCCGTCCCCGGAGTTCGGATTCTCACCCCTTCCCCGCGACATGGCGGATGCCACCGAGAATTTTCGATGAATTTGATACCGAGCCCCCTTCCAATACCAGTGACGATGAACTAAGCGAGTCAACAACCGATCTCCAGCCACACCCAAATGGCGCCCTTACTGCTACCTCCGCTCAAATCGCGTTGATCGAGTCACTTGCAACCCGCCTCCGGATCGTCTAGGCCCTCAACGGCCTACATTCCAAAGTTTCCTATGGCATATCTCTCGAGCTAAGTTCCGACTTGATTGAAACCCTTCAGGCACATCGTCATCTGGTAAAAGAAGATGGGTCTACCGCCTTTCACCGAAATCTCTTAGATTTCCTAGTCCGACGATTCATGATCCCTCCGCACTATTCTTTCAGTAACCAGGCGCGCACAAACCCACTCTTTCACTACTCGCTCAAAGTCAGTCTTCATGCTGCCCTGGCCATCATCTCCCCAGAGCGGGACACTGGCTTCGCACAATTAATGACGACAGGTGGAGGTCTGTTCCTAGGAGGTGTCCGGTGCACTACCTCAGCTATCAGCCTCGAGCCGCTCTCCCATGTGGAAACACAGCGGCTTAATGGCACATTGAATCGGACACGACAGTATCGGGAATTCCTCAAGCAGGCCATTTTGGATCTCATCAATCTGTCAGAGGAACGTATCGCCAAGGCGAAACAAATGTGAAGAATCACGCGTTTTGAGTCTGATTCTTGCGCAGGTCAAGGTTGTTGCAGGTTATGCGAGCTGCAAGAGATAGCTTGGAGTTATGCAATAATCTACTCAAGACAAGGGAGGACACACCCTCGCCGGATGAAGTGGGATTGGCCGCGATGGAAGGGGCTCAAGGGTTTGAGGAGCTAGGACCAGACTTTGGTTGGGAGTATTTATTTCCAGACACGAATTTCGGTCCGTGGACTCCGGGGCAGCCTATGTAGGGTGACTAGCATATTCTGCATGTTCGACTTCAATACTATTCCATCCATGGGCCCGTCCTAGCCTGCGAGGATACCAAAAGCCAAAAGGAAGTTGTAAGCTGCTAGGGGGTTTTCATGGGTGTAAGAGGTATCTAATTCGAATTTATATCGCTGGTTTTTTGTGGAAATCTTGCGGTTTTCAAAAAACTGAACGTTAAATTACCAGTACCACTGCTATGACAACAGTGGTGACCGTCACTAGAGGGGGGAATCTATCCTTTCTCCAATGCCGTTTAACCAAGGCGGATTTGGTAGTTACCCCCAGACAATCCTTCAAATTTAAGCCCATCGGCTGATGACACGGGGTGAACAACGCCTTTGGAACCCTTCACAATTACCTTCTCCTCCACACTCGGCAATATCAAGGTCCCTGATGTACCTTTTGGCGTGTTGAAGCTCCCAATGATGGCCTTGGTGCCGGGGTCAGTCATCCAAGAGGCAGAAAAATGGCCCAATGGGGTCTCGTAGCCAGCCTCAATCCGTTGCAAATTCCCAAGCCGTGGCTGCACCATCCAAGTCTTCCCTCCACCTGAGGTAATCTGGATACCAGCTGCATAGAACGTCAAACTCGATGTTGGGCTGGTGGCCCAGCCATGTGCATGACTGATTCTTGCGTCGTTGTCGTAAGGCGCGTAGTGCAAGTCGCCATTGGTGGCATAGCCTTCGATAAAGCTACTGTTGGTCATGCGTGGATCGTCCAGCATGAAGTCAGCCCACATGAACTCAATGAGATCAATGGCTCGATCCGGGAATCCTGCGAGGAAATGAGCTTGCACCTCGAACCCGGTCGCAAATGGTGAAATTGTTGCGCCGGCCTCTGGTGCAGGAGCCCCGTAAGGCTTGACCCACCGATCCGTAAGGGCCGTGCTAATGGCAGCAGCACGTCCAGCATCGACAAGGTTAGCTATGATAGCCCAAGAGTTGCCGTCTTGTGGGTGGATAGCATTCGGAGTCTGATTGTGGTCATTGTCGAAGAAGAGGTTTTGTGCCGGGTCCCAAAGTCGTTCATTGACGCTAGTCTTGATTCCATTCATGATTGATTTCCAGAGATCATCCTGGCTATGGTCATCAAGCACCTCTGCAAGCTGCAGACTGATATCAAGTGTATAGTAGAGGACCGCGTTGGCCTATGGCATATGAAAATTAGTCAAATAGTTCTATTTGGCAACGAAAATTGGGCGTCCTGTTTACTTCGACATTGTGGCCTCCCATACCAGACCTTAGCCAGTCATTAGTGCTCGTAACATTTGCCAACTTAGAGCTGTCAATGGTTGTGATAGTCCAAGAGATAGCCTTTTTGTATTGGCCCCAGTAGTGAGCCAAGTATTCAACATCTCCGGTATAGAGATAGTAGAGGTGGAGATCAAGGAGAGTGTATAGGTGATACGTGAAGCTAAAAGGGAAATACCCAGGGCGTGTAAATGCAGCTCCAGCCCAAGGTAGGCGTCCATCAGATTGCTGTAGAATGAAAAGAGAATCGATTGCATTCTTGATACCGTCTAGGCTGTTGGTAGAGACAAACACAGATGGAGCAGAAATGACAACATCCCCTGGCCAAACAAGTCGGTCTCGTTTGGCTCCATCCATGAGGACCGAAGTGCCATCTTAAAATAAAGTATTAGAAAGTCAATGAAGCAGTGTCGCGGGAAATTTGAATTAAGGAAATACTCACTCGCGATCGTGCCATTGTAATACCAGTTTGTACCAGGAATACCCAAAGCATTTCCTGTCGTTGGATCGGCAGTGCACAGTTGGTTTGTGTATGCACCAGCATACCAAACACGATTCAGTTTCTCACTGTCACTGTTGAAATATCCTGGATAATCCGCAGGATTCTCCATCTCTGGTGACGCCGTGAAGCTCACTGACAAGTCTTCCAAACTCACTGTTCCAGTAGAGTTGTGCCATACGCTCAAGTATCGAAATCCACCGCGCTGGTGTGATTTATCGGCAGCATATCGGCCTTTCTTGGGGATATTGAACCATAGCGGACTGTCATACGTAGCGCTTGTTCCCGAGTCACAGTGGTAAGGACTTATCCACATGGAGCTTTCAGTGAAACTAAAGCCAATGTACTCGTCCGTGCCAGAGACAGACCGGACGTTGAAATCAACGGTTCCGGCGATATTCTTGCCGAAATCGAGAATGATAGAGGAATTGGGGCCAAAACGCTGGCCTTCAGGCTCATGAACATTGGTACAGAGTGCATCTGCATTCTTCACATCCCCGTAAACGGCATGCAGGCTAAGCGGCGTCACAGAGCGGTGCTTTGGTGCCAAAATATATTCCTGAAATTTGGATGCGAAGACCCCATGTGTAAATAGTAGGGCCAATAACATGTCGCAAAGCAGAGTCCCGCGCATTTTGCTGTGACAGTCTCCGGTGAACATATAGCAAACAACGATGCCAGCGCAAATATGAAGGTTCAACCATTTTATAGCACACATCGGCTTTCTTTCCGACGGTTGTTTAGTTCTCCTAATCCATAAGCAGCGCTCATTGTTACCCCGAGATCCAAATGTTTAATCGGCTCTTGTCCTGTTAACCCGAGCCAACAGGGACATAACAAAGTCCTCGGCCAATTGTGAAGACATGATTTCGTTTGTTCTAGTTGAGGTTGCAATTGTTTCGGGCTAATTCAATGCAACCCCGCATTTCGCAGTCACTCGGGATATCAAAAAAGAAAACAGGCTCAATATGAGCGGGATTTGCACCCCGCATCTCCACAGGTACGGCACAGGTTCAGGACTGCGGAGGATGAACGCCTCATTTCATGGAATTATAAGAAGAGAATCTAAGGAATAAGGGTCTTTGCTCTTACCGTGGCGCATTTTGTATTCGTATAGTTTGACCGAAAATTGACGTTTGTAGATAGTAGAAACCAGACGGACCTATCTGGCGTTTTCGGCATTCCTTTGTACATGTTGACACTGCACCCTTCTCCACATTATGCCTAAATACAAGACCTTTATTCTCAGGTGAGCACCTTTAAGACTGGTTTATTTGCATCTTAACATAAGTTATGTCACAAGCATGGTTTAACATTGTGTTCAGCCTCGTAGATGTATTCTCTCAATTTGCTTTTCTACCATCCACATGAAAGATACTTACAAAGCAAAGGTAGTGAAGTTGATTGTGGTGTTAGCCTACCTGTCTCCAGAAGTATATCTATTCGGTTTGTCGGGTTATAGTCATCCGAGCAAAGAAGAAGCTACAGTTCCCAGGTTTCGAGAGCTATAGCCATGGTAAAAAAAGACTGGGGAAATGCAAGTGGATCCCGGGCCAGAGGTACTTCTAACTCCTCAAATTGGAAGTTGGAAGCTCGCACTATGTGAAAACAAGCAGAAAGGACGCTTCATGCCTGTGAAACTTGTGCGGCTGTAAATTTTCAGCTACAAAATCCTCTTGGGATACGTCAGCAGCTGGCAAACTGCTGACGTAGTCGAGATGTGAACTTAAAAGGCTTGATAGGACTTGTGGCGGGTACAAGTAGGAAATGAGACCCACTCCTTGCTGCGAGCTGCTTACGCCAAGGCCACCGTTAAGTCCGGAACGTAGTTACCTATCCGCTTATGTAGCTCTATGTAGGGTACTCCCTTTACTGGTTGAGGCTTTCCGGTATTAGCTGCCGCGGCAATTATGACTGAACATAGAGACAGGTTCATTGATAAATTTCAGCCAGGGCTAAGACTAAGTGGGATACAAGGAATACCGCATTACTTGACTTCGATAAACACGGTCGTGCCTCAAAATTACTGCATATCTTCTTCTTTCATCAAGTGGAATAGAAGCAACGTTAAAGTCTAAACGGACGGTATAGGCTCTAAAACAGGGAACTGTTTTACAGAGTTTACAGTTCCCCTCAGCTGGATGCTTTTTTGACGTATGGCAGACAAGAGAGGAAAAAGAACGGCGGGGCAAAATGATAGAAAGGAAGATAGAATCGAGCTTCCATATACAGGAGAGTCGCAAATTGTCAGGATATCCACCGCCTGCTGCTTTATTCAACGCCCTGTGATTGACGGGCGATATCTGGTCAAATGGGAGGACACGGTCAAGCTCCGCTAGTCCGCACCCACGCATAACCACCAACACATGTAGGTACCAGGGCTACTCTTGACACCTGATTTCTAGAACTACTTCAACCATTCCACGGGTTTCAAGGCCCCCAGCGTTGTCCGTTAATCGGACTAGTGAAGAACAACGCAATCCTATAGATAGTTTCGAGCGATTCCGATAGTTCCAATCCCCCCAGAAAAACAAAAGAATAGCAATACTCCTTACTAACCAGGGAGGTGGTCAGTCTTCCTCGTCTTCTTCGCCTCTTTCTTCTCCTTCAACAGAAAAAATACCCTCCTCCTCCGCTGCCATCATCCTTTCCTTGCGTCTCCGATTCGCCCAGTTATACATGTTCCAACTCTGCAAAAAGACCGATGCCCCTTTACTCTCGATACATATCACCGGCTGACCATGCCTGAGACTGAACCAGATCCGATCATTCATATCCGATGCGGCCGCTGTCCCAAGCAGACATATCCAAGTGTGTGCTTCTGGAGCGGTTCTCACCCATGTATCCATGCTCCCGCGGGATAGCGCATATTGCAATTTCCGAACGAGACATTGCAGAACAGCCATACGAAATGGGGCAACATAAGCGTCATCAAGAAAAAAGTACCAAAAAATTAAGGCAGCTGTGTGGCAAGCCTGCATTATTGCGTCAGCGTCCGACTCGATAGAAAAATCATCAGTATTATCCCGGCCATCCTGGTAGTCAGTGGACAACAGGAGGTCTTCCACTTTGGTTACCCATTTGGCTCGGATATCGATGGCAGCGGGCTCTTCTGGCAGAAAATTGGCAACAAAGTCAATATCTTCAAAAAGTTCGATTGCGTCGGGGGAGAGGTTGTAGTAGCCTCCTTTTCTGCTGATTGCTCGACGGAGAATGGCGGAGGTAAAATATGTCGGGGGCGTGAGTGGCGCGGGAGGGATATCTAGGAATGGTATGTCGAGTGTTGAGTCCATGATGATGGCTTCGGTGAGAACGCATCTGCAGCCAACAAACGATATGAGAAATCACTACTCGTCGTCGGGAATAGATTTGGTTAGGAGCTTACGCACATGGTGATAAGCCCCGAGAGGAACGCGCCAAGAGCGAGATGCTCAAGACCGCCTTTTGCTTTGATCATTTGCATTAATGCCATCTTGTGAATACTGGATGATCCTTTGTCACCAAGAAGGGCCTAAAAAGATGAGAACGTGCTGACAAGCTAGATGTTCGGAAGAACTATAGCAACTTACGTACCGAGAAAAATACTAATGGTGCAATACAAGCCATGAGGGACTCGCTGAATACCGCGTCGGGATCATTTATTCTCTCCTGGAGCAGCCGCAATGCAATTGTATGGTGGTATAATGTCATATTATTATTTTTGACTCCTCGAAATGCATCCAAGTGGGCTGACGCAGCATAAAGAGTGGTATGGAGTGCACAGGGTTCGGACAGGGCTTGTTGGATCCACGTCGCTCTAAGGAGCCATGCGAGACTACTACTGTCAACAGGGAGCGGTTCCATCCCGAAAGTTTCAATAACTATCGAAGATACCGTTAAGTTTACCCTTCACGGGGGTCTGTTGCATTGGCGGCATATACTTACACGAGTGAATGAGCATAGGCATGTGCGGTCGTGGCTCAACTGGCAGCGGCACTGTGGCATCCACCCGGCTGATGTCTAGCGAACGAAGAAAAGAAGCACCGGGCCCATTCAGTACGAGAGCCTGCTTTGGAAAAACACAGCGACTGTTTTGTCTACAGGTAATTGTTAGTCGTCTAGACACGTCGCCAGTTTCACTCCCGGCAGTGGTACCTTGAGCATCGGCTGCAAATCGGCAATATCTTGTCACATTTCCTTTTCTTTTGGCGGCACTGGAAACATGCCCCGATGACCCTCACTGCATCTGAGGCCAAGGGGAGAATCGCTGCCTGACTGACACTGTACTGCGGGTACATAGATGCGTCTGGCCGTCCATCCGCCATGAACAGCCGCCTGGAGGAACTGTGCACACCGCTCTGCTGGTTCGCACCTTCCTGAGCGGGCATGCTGGTGGACGATCTGTACCAACATTGTCGCTTTTGTCTAGCAAGGTCAGCCTGGACATGCAGCCGATGCTGCAAGGGCACTCACTTGGCACACGCTGAGCACAACGGAAGAAGACGATCACATTTCCTCTTCTTCTGCGCACAAGATAAGCAAGCATGATCGGCCCGGGGGTTCATGTTGAGCACAGCAAGCGTAGGTTGGGAGTGGGAACTACTTAAGGAGGGCTCTTTTCATATTCAGTCACTTCAGATGCAAACTTCGACCCTATTTTTCCCCAGACCAATCAAACATCTGTCGACTGCCGTGTCGAGTTCAGTTAACAGCGAACACCCCGCCGCTAACCCGATAAGGAATTTGTACATTTGCCAAGAAGGTCAGCCTCACTCCAGGCGATCTAAAGCAGATCTTATGAAGCAGTGCGTGAAAGGTTCAGCTGAATTATTTTGTTCAAGTTTCCACGTTGTCAACTTGAGGTCTTTGATATATGTTTCAGATAATATCTACCAATACCACCTAGGCCAGGGATCCTTTAGGTATTGTGGCAACACGAGAAGAAACAAACGCATGTACACTAGCGCTGACGATTTCGGCAGCTGTAAAAGACAGCCGGAAAAGGAAAACGGTCAGTCATGGTTCATGAACCCCAGTAAATATTTGTGAAATATGAGGAAAGGCCTCAACTGCCAGTATTTTCCGACACTATGCAGCAATATACTGTCGGAGGGTCTCGTCAACTTGTTTATTATGTGATAGATAGCAATGCATATCACGGTGAGAGTAAGAATAAGAAAATGAATGAGATTCTTCAAGGGCAGACGCTAGCCTATCAAACGTCACATAGTCGCTATATGACTGGAATACTCAGTGTCACTACCTCAGATGGTCACCTCAAGTTCCCCAAGAACTGATCTGACTGTTCATGAGCCAACACACTGTTCTGGGAGTTTACATGTTAATTTGTATGTTTAGTATCTGTTAGAGTAAGACACTTTTAGGTATCCACGTTCTATGTATTTTTGTGCCTTGTGCCAGGTCGACCTTTGTTATGTTAGAATCAAATACAGCTTGTTTCCAATTCGAACCTACCCCTCAGTTTCAGGTTGTCTGTTAGACTTCACAAGCGAAAAGCTTATATATTGAATTGATATTTGAGCCGCTCATATACCAAAAAGCTAGCAGCAACCATCGGCACAACCTTGATGTATCCGATGGTCAATCCAACCCAAAAGCCCCGGAACCCTCTTTCCGCCCAGATTATATGGCAGGTTTTTGCAATTCCTATATTACTCTCGCCCTGAATTACACCGCTGGCTTGTATGCGACGGCGAATGACTTCGAGGGGGTATGAAGTAGTCTGAGCGATTGTGCCGGCAAGCGCCCCGGCTATTAATTGGGCGCCGATCTTCAGAGGACGGCGTTGTGATTCTCTGTCCGCAGCAGACTGTGGGACTGTGGTGTACTTTTCAAACTCAGCGCGCCGTAACCAATCTTTAACTGTGTCATGGGTGAAGAATGACATCCCAGCGTAAGGGAGCATCCCGAGCATAGTTGGGGTAAAGCCGCGATAGAAGTTGCTGAGCTTGGATATTGGAAGCGCCTTCTCAATAGCACTAGAAACAGTTTTGCTGACTCCTCTTACCGCAGTAGTATGCGATTGCAGAGCACCACTCTGCTCGTTGTATATTTGACGGCAAATACCCTTCAGGGATGATCGATGTGACCGACTCTCAATAGCCAACCGCACTCGGACAAGATCAAGCGGGTAAGTGAAGAAAACGGACGTGGCACCGGAAACACTGCCAGACAGGAAACGACGGAGCGGTGTCTCTTTTTCAGGTGATGAGATGAAGAGAGCTCTCATCTGTTCGTACATCAGAAAATTGATGGCCGCGTAAGGGAATTTCTGAAGTAGGGTGGCCGAATGACCCTTGAATAGGCCTCTGAGTCCTTCATGGCTGCTGATTGACGTAAGAGCAGACACAAATCCTTTCCAGCTGCCAATGTATCTCACATACGCGGGAGTTGACGTCTGAAAAAGAATTTTGACGCGATCGAGTGGTGCAACAAGAGTCTTAGCCTACCCAGACTGTTAATATTTATTCCAGGCAGGGAATAACACGCTTGACTTACTGCGCATCCCGCCAGTCCACCTGCTAACCCGCTCTTTAGCACATATTCGAGGCTTCGCTTATTTGTGGCTTTGGCATGGATCCCTTGCTCGGCTCTTGAAGTCATAGCAAGTAACCCTAGCCCTGCCACGCAGTCAAGATCACGAAGGGTCGTGATGTGGCAGGGATATCGGAAGAAATCGCCGGTAGCAAAAGCGGCGCGTAGCTCATGGCGAAGTCTACACCGCCTTGGCTTAGAGGACAAAATACCTTGAGTTTTGGGGCCAAACCCTTCCAAGAGACGTTGGGGCGATAACTGGTGTTATGCTTTATCTCCAATGCGCGATCTCTTATTCTGGGAGGAAAAATTCCCTCAGTAAACAGGATTCGGTTCCTCCTCAATGAAAAGATGCGATATAATCTTTTTGTACAGCGGATGAAATGGCCCGCTGGTACAAAGTCATCGCCTCGTTATGAAATCTGAAAATTGATTCCTCTAGTAACTAACCATCGTCTTGCGCTTACATTCGACCGAAGTGGGCAATGCCGTTTCCGACCTATTGCGAAATATGCTTTCAGTCCATCAGGGAAGAAACAGTATATTATTTCAGCCCTTTGAATTTAATTCCTAATTATCTTTGATAAACTCTGTGACAGGTAGTTAGACAAGTTGAATATGATTTGAGCTATGAAGGGACAAGACACCACCGACTGAAGACACACTATTTCAAAGCCCTTCTCAACCAAGGAGGAGACATTCAAACACATAATTACAAATCCGCTAGCCTTCACGAGCAGTTCTATGCTTATTCTTGGTCTATTACCCTCATCCTCTTCCAAGGGGGAAAACTAAACCCAGTGAAAAGGCAGTCCAGAACCACAGAGTATTCCATCAATAATCCCATTGTCAAAAACGGGGCAATCGGACCAGCGAGAGCACTCCATTTCATATCAGACGTGTGGAACACAGAAAGAAATGGATAGTTGATGCGAACGACCATAAACGGCAAGGCTAGGATAATGGATTTGAGAATCTGTAAATACAATGTTAGCTGAGAGAAAATCAAGTATATAGTCCTTTGATGTACCCTGCACAGCCAACAAACAAACCACAAAGGCAACCGCAATAAAGTATCCAGCTTTAACAAGTTTAACCCCAGTAATTGCATCACTGGAAGAGTCGCTTCCTTTCAAAGCTCCACCGGCAACGGTAAGCCCGATACCTACGAGAGAAGGATGCGGGACACAAGTAGGTATTGGCGCACTCTTGGTCTTGCATTATGCTCAATAACCATTCTGGGGGGCATATTAGAGAACTTTTGTCCATAAACGAATGTTCACTTGCATGATTCGAATGAGCCCTAGAGTGGCCGCGATCAAGGGAAAAACACCGGCATTGGGAAGAATGATTGAAGCTACCATCACTGCTGGAAGTTTGCTCTGAAATAATAACCAAGATTCCTGCGGCAATCCCAACTGAAATCAAATACATGTTAGACGCATCTGGATCTTCCAAGAAGTATTTCGTTGTAAGAAGTACTATACTCACTGATAGAGAAGATCATCAATATTATCCATATCAATGGACGGCCCTAACATGCACCACCACCTGTGATATTTGAGGGATATGGGGCTGCTTGTCAAATGGTGAAGCAGCGCACTTATCTCAGAGGTTCAGTCTCTCTACGCCCTCGGCTAGCTCCTCAAAGATTATGTACCTATTCCCGAGATTTACGGGCGGCGGAAGGATGGCAACCCGATTTTCCTTTACATGGAGTTTCTGCAAGGGTAGACTCTGGAGGGACTTTGGGATAAGCTGGAACCGGATAACCGCATTTCAATCTGTTCTGATCTCCAGACAATTTTTAACAATCTGCGCTAACTTGAACCGGACCCGAAAGATCCATTCATAGAAGATCCTCTTAGCGATCTCAACGTCCCCTAGAGCGCATCTCTAACCCCTTAATCGCTCACACTATAACATTGCAAAAGCTCCCCTCTACGACAGAGCAATCTATAATAGGTCTCTATAGGAAGCAAGACCGTTTAATACTACTAAGAAGTTTTATAACTAGGTCACCTTCCTATATCGAAATCCGATACCAGATCCGCACTCCATTCCAATCGAACCGTTTTTCTACGATCTCCTCGATAACAGCGACACCAAATCTACGCATAGTGATCCCCACCGGAGCAACATCTTGATAACACACTCTGAGCCCTATCATGTTCTTACAATCGTCGATTGAGAACAGTCGGGCGGGTTACCTGAGTACTAGGAATCTAGTAAGGCGCATTTCGCCGCTTACTACTTTGAAGAATGGTCTACAAAATATCTACGAATGATTTTGTGTCAATTTACGAGCACTTGGGAACCGTGGAGCTACTACACAGGAGCCTTGGGATGTTAAAAAATGCAAAGTTTCAATTAATGTAATCTAATTGCAAAAGGATGTCCTGCTAAAGCCACAAGAGTGATATAGTGGTAAGACCCAGAGATCCGTGTTCTGTGGGATGCTCAAGGAGAAACAGGCTTGGATGCCTTGCAGCATCGGCTCTGCGGATCACTCATCCAGTGTATGCAAATGTACCGGCAGCGGAATTGGTTGCCCAAATCCCGAGTGTGGTCAGGTCCGGACATGAGCGGGGAAGCTGTCGATGTGACGTTGAAATCCTGTATATGCAAATTAATCTGCAACATTGGACCGAGTCGCATACCCCGTTGGGTTAGTACAGTTGTCAAGGCTTGTAGGTTGAAATGGCAAACAGTAAAATCGACCTCATAGAACGAAAAAGTTGATCTCGCTGGAGAGTGTCTGATTGAGAAGCGAGAGAGCTGGCTAGAGAGAGAATGATTGATTAGTTCTCTGGTAGAGAGCTTAGTCTAGGAGTAGCTATACCCCTTGGGAGGCCTGACAGCCTAAGCACCCCTGTCCTAACCAGAAGGGATCGTGGTGAACTCGGACTGCCTGACCAATTGATAGTAACAGGTGACTGCGGCGGACAGTCTAGTAACTGAGTAATGGATTTTCGTAATATTAGTACTAGCTCCTAATTTCATGCATATCGTTCTGCCTATCATCGTGCGTGTTCAAAAAGCGTTCAAATACCTGCTTAAATGCTTCTTTAAATACCCATTCAAATACCCATTAAAGGAATTGTTTAGAGGCTCGTTTCTATGCTCATTTAGATTCTTCATATGATCTATTGTCGCCTAGATAGCATTTCTCAGAGGCACATCAAAAAGATTTCGATATTAAAATCTGTCAGGGACGTGTCAAGAATTGAGAGCCTAGGGTATCAATCCTCACTGGGGTGAAGCTAGTTCTTGGTTGTCGTTTCCGGGTAGAGAATCCATCCGTCATTCCTCTCTCCTCCAATAGAAATGATACGTTTGCACTGCCTCCAATGGATCCATACATATTGCCACCATACTCAAACCCATAGTAGGTAAATGCACTCAATGATAGCGCTAATAAAGATAAGTTGGTTGATTGGTTTCTCAGGCGGGAGTGGAGATGGAAATAGGCCCGGCGATAAGAGTTGCCACCTATACACATGTACTATGTAAGACTAGGCCCATCTGAAATATCTAGTTGCAAGCATACCGTGGGTGTCTACAACTATAGGGTGTGGAAACAGGGTTTCCCCTCCGCTCCGCCGTACGGTCAGACCTTTGGCTGACAGGCTTGCTCGACATCTACAACGCAACAGAGCGAGTACAAAGGACTTTTAATCCCGTTCTAGAGGAGCCCAGTACAAGCATGTTTTACCAGAATGCAAAGGTTGCCGACGCTATAAGTTAGACGACTCGCAAATCTTATTAGGCTTTATTTATTCGGTAGTAATAGGGTCCCAGGAAAATATCCCATTACACTAGAGCTAGTACTACATCAGGTGGTGGAAATACTGAATACATGTTGCTGTGGACAAAGGGGAAATTTGGCTCTTTTTTGTTAAATTTTATGCACCCTGATGAGGCCAGTCGTGAGTTTATGCATCAGGCCCGCTGCGGATCGGGTCGGTCTGTCTGCCATGAGGGGTGTCGGCCTGAATTAGCCTGAACATAATGCAGTGAGGATCCTTCAGAAAAAGCAAGATTGATCTCCGCCGAGGTTTTGCCGTTTACGTAAATGGACCCTTTACTGGACCCCTAAACGGCCCCCGGGTGCCTAACCCTCTGAGGGAAGGCGTTGTACTTTTGTACTTTGTCTACGGAGTTCGCGAATACAGACCCGAGCAAAACTTCTACAAATTTATGAGCTGTTTCTTTTTCAACCCAGAGGCCATGCAGCGTCAACTGATTAGATTCCTGCAATGTAACATCAACCTAGGTGCCGGTCAATGGGAGCCAGTCAATGGCTTTGATACATGGGTTCAGCTTACTAGGCGTCCAATTCCCCGACAATGCAATATACCACCCATGTCATGGAGATAACCAAGATGAATTGTCCTTTCAGTCGAAGAGGTATAAATACTTCAAGATACAACCTCCAGAAAGAAACTCATCCTCTTGAACATCAAGCCTTCTTGAATAATCAACAACTTCAACCAAACCACCTCGTTTCAATAAATCGTTCAAAATGAAGGTCACTGCTCTCCTCTGCACTCTTATGGCTGCCGCCACCGTCAGTGCTTCGGCATTCACCGACCCAAAGATTCTGGACGTCTGCGGTGCCGGCTATGGTGGCGATCAAAGACGTACAAACAGCGGTTGCCAGGCCTCGAACGGAGACAGACGCTTCTGCGGTTGTGACAGAACCGGCGTGGTAAGTTTAGCATACCAGGTTGAAATACCAGACCATCTTTGCTAACGTGTATTTCTGCGAAAAGGTTCAGTGCAAGGGTGGAAAGTGGACAGAAATTCAAGACTGCCACAGTGGCACTTGCCACGGTACCAACGATGGTGGAGCCGTCTGCTAGATTGAGAGCAACGAGTGTATTGACAATCGCACTGGGATGAGGATTTGGCCAATCTTCCACCGGAACGAATAGGAGCACCCTGAACGATTCAACATCATCCAATTTGCTTGCCTTTTTTTTTGGACATCTGTTCAACGCCTGGTTCGAACCAACTTGTTACTCGTCGCTCGTTATTTGTGATTTTGTTTACATGAAAACAAAGATGGAGGTCATCAAATACTGTGGAACTCCCGTATTAGTCCTGTTCCCTGTTACATGATTCGTGAATTCAAGACATCTATCTATATTCCGCCTTTCTCCCGGACCCGATGAAGTAGTTCATGGCCGGAAGCGAAAAGCAACGTTACTTTAGTCCTGAATCAAAATCTCCTTAAATGTCAATTTGAAACCAGTGCTGTGTACACTAACTGCCTCTTTGTGTTGAAGGAAAGATAAGACAGAGAGGGGAGCCGACACCAGCCGGGCGAGCCATTTTACATCATGCCTCGTCATGAAAATTTTTCAAGGCCTCCCGACCTTACCACTCTTCAAATACATTATCAGCCTCCAAGGGGGGTCAGAATTAACTCACAGGGTTCATTGTGGCAACTTCACTGGCCGTAGTGAAGTGCGAAATGCCTGCATTAGGATTCGACACCTTAGCCACGGCTTCTCGGCCATCTTCCATAGTCATGAGGAAACGTTTTGTTGTACGTGCATCGAGAAACTTCTCAACAGAAATGCGTCACGCCGCGCCGACTGACTCGACTGCCACACTTGCCAGTTTGTTGAAACCGAATCTGACCGCTCGGTCCGGAAGATTCAGCGGCCATGCGTGAATTTGAAGAAATCATTGGTATCCCAATCTAATTGGTATAAGTCATATGAGGGGTCATGCTCAAATGGAGATGCTTACCTGTCCGAGTCCCTAATCACGGGACCTTGACTCTGGGATAGCGATCGAGCTTTCGTGATCGAGCGACATTTTATTGCTTCCATGTTTGTTTCATTAATCGAATATGGCGCCAAATACGCGCAATTGGGATCCAAGACATATTTAATGAGATCAAATGCCTCCGTTGATGCTTGATAGGAAGCGCGTCACACCTGATCACGCGGTGGGAGGGGTATAAGACATTCTCAGGGAAACAAGATTTGAATACCGAAAAACATGACATAAAAAGAAGAGAAATATGGGAAAGTTAGAAACGATATGGCGCTTTCATGCTATTGTATAAGATCAGGCTTTGATCGGTAGTTGATCTTAATGACCATCGACTGGCCAAGTATATACTATCCGGTTTGGACAGAAGAGACAGCACCCAATGACCATATAGACCTTGTAGCCGACTCATTTAAATTGCCTTAAATGATATGCACGAGCTTAGAAAAGAAAGACGATGCCCTCGGTCATAGGTATATCGGTAGTGTATATGTTCGATCAATTTAATCACAATAGACTCAAAACCTACATCAGTGCCCCCATTAGTGGGGGGCCCACATGTCTAGTTATACATATGTCGACCCCGGGTCTTGGCGGGGAAAGGTTGTTATCATGTACCTTGTCAGCTGTGAAGCCAAAGGTGGGGGTTATAGTGTTTAATTAGCGACCAAGCCCAACCTCCGCAAGTTTCTCATTTCTTTGGCCTCATTTTATGTTCAGTAGTCCCTCGGCTCCATTCCTTAAATTACTACGCGTACTTGTCGTGGCTTTGCTTACAATAGCGGGACAATATCCTCTTTCTCATATCTGTTACACGCCGTCACACTATATAAAGTTCAACACCAAGAGGACTGACCATGTCTTTACCTGACTTGCGTGTCATGAAAAGAAGGCGACTTGGACGTGCATCAACTAGACAGTCGAAGGCGAGCAAAGCTCGCTCCTGTGAGGCTTGCCGGCGACTGAAAACGCGATGTGAGCCGAACGGTTCGGATCGATGTCATCGCTGTGATGTTCTCCGGTAAGAAACATGCCCAGAAAATGTTTTATTGAATCAAATCTCTGAAGGCTTGTTCTACTTCGTTAGAATCGAATGCTCTTTCCAAGCCGTGACTAGCAACCATCACTCCTCAAGTCCAAGGGAGCCTGCACCTACGATGAGCTCTAGTGATTATAATGCCCGGTGAGCTATCTCATGGCTTATATCATGTTGATTCATGTGCTTAACTCATAAATAAGGCTTCAGGCTGTCGAAAGCACTCTAACGCAGCTACAAGCGTCGATATCCGCTAGCAGGACCAATATTCCCCAAGATAGACCCGAGGTAAGTAACATTAAATAATAATACAGTCAACACAACTAATCTTCAACATTAGAACCCTTCATCAAGTGCAGACCGAACGGCCCGTGATGCACCCATGAGTCTAATTCAAGAAATCAGAGAGAATATCACCTATGAAAACCCATCCAACATCGACGACTGTACGGAGGATATGATAATTAAGGGCATTGTCTCTGAAGATCTGACACAAACACTTCTTGAAGGGTATGCGACTTCCCATCAGTTCCAATAACATATTATCCGACATTAATTATTCAGTTTTTCGAAACTGTCAAGCCGTTGGCTATTCATGAATACGGACCCTGTCCAACTACGTACCAAGTCGCCACTCCTTTACGGAACTTGTCTTCTAGGTGGTCTTCATATAACCCCATCTTTGCATGGGTCGCAGACACATCAGGCATTGTACCGCCATGTTCACGGACTCTTGGGGCAAACTCATCTATCTTCAGTTAGCTCGCTGGATACAATCCAGTCGATGTTAATCCTCTCTATGTGGGACTTGCGACCCACTCTAGGTCATGAGCATGGGAATTCATGGCTGTTGAGTGGAACAGCAGGCATGCGAGTTATGATGACGACTTCTTTTGAGCAACTTCTCAAGTCAAATAATAGCAATGGTGGCGAAGCCCAAGCACAGGAACTGATGCGCACATGGAACTTGATTTGCCTCTGCCAGTTACAGTGAGTTAGTTGTGTATTTTGACCATTTCCTCTCTCTTCTTTTTGGTCTCTTTTCGGATTTCTTTTTCAAATTGAACATTTCTTCGCAAAGCCTAACAGTCACGCAGGTTTTCTGTCGGCTCTGGTCGTCCTCCGGTTATCTCCAGTCAGTACTTTGATGAATGTACCAAGGCTCTTGACTTCTCGTCATATAGTGCACGTGATGAGCTTGTATTGGCTGGAGTAAGACTATATCGGGTTCTTTGGGGATTGATGAGTTCAAATGTGATTCAGAGGACGAGCGCTATTTGGCCCGAGATTGACAGCTTGCGAAAATCTCAAGAGAATACCTACAGTGAGTGTTCCACCCTTTTTAACTCAAGCTGACCCTCATTTGTCTCTACCACAGAGCTTGACTCCTCCGAGCCCCTTCGCTTTGCATACTCCTGCGCCTATTTGATGCTAGCACGTCGGACGCTACAGCACATGAATCACACCGAATCCGACAAATCTTGTAACCCCGAAGTAGCATTTGAGGCATCCGCGCTTCCATTCATTGAATGCTCAATTTACCACTCCATTCGAATTCTGAATCTCTTTTTATCCATGTCGGAATTGACCACCTACATCCATCCTGCCTACGAAAACCTACTATGCTCCTTCGCGATGGTGACATTGGCTGAGTTCGTCACTCATATAGCTGATGTTGGTCACACGATGGTTTTGATGGAGCAGGCCATTTCACATATCCAATGTGGGGGCAAGGCAGAGCCAGTGAGTCGATGGTGCCTTAATATCATAAAGCAACACGTTGCAGAAGGTAATGAGCCAGCTCATCTTGGATTGGCGGGGGTAAATAGAGTAGAAACATGTACCTCACAATCCGTTCAAGATTTACCGGAGTCTTGGGACGACAACGAGTGGAGTATCGAACAAGAATTTCCGTCACTTGAAGACATGCTCTTTGGAAATGTTATTTGAGAAGGCTGCTATTGACAAAGTTTGTTCATACAAGTCACTGGTTACCAACATAAATTGTGTATATAAGAGCGAAGAACTCCCTTAATTCCGATTTCTCAATCTGATACCCGCATGGCATTCCTTGGGCTTCTTAGAAAATCCCTCATGGGATTCCATTGTTGGTTGATACAAAGCAAAGTCATATCGATGGAACAGAGTGCCAATAATCAGTTGTAGCTCCATTATAGCAACATTTTGCCCAACGCATGCCCGAGGTCCATAAGAAAATGGATTGAAAGCAATCTTTTGTCGGGGAGTCAAGTTTAACCAGCGATCAGGTTTGAACTCTTCAACATCATCGCCCCAGATTTCTTTCATATGATGAATTGTGTATGATGGCACTGAAAGAACTGTCCCAGGAGGGAAGTGAAAGCCATCGAATTCGACACCTAGACTGCTATCAGCCACCAGACGCGGTAGACCGATGGCCGAGGTAGAATGCAGGCGCATCGCTTCGTCGATGCATCTTCGCAGGAAGGGAAGGTCTTTGACCTGTGAGTAGTTTACAATATCTGCTTCGCAACCAATTGCTTGGTCGAGCTCTTCTTGTAACCGAGGCACTATTGTGTTTGGTGCGTTGCGTTCTCCGTGAAGTATCCAGTAGAAGATACCGCAGGACGTGTTGGAGACTGTATCAGATCCAGCAATCAGTTGCGTCAGTGCCTCCGCAATGAGCTCATCCCGACCCATAGGTTGCCCACTAGCATCCTTGGCTTGTAGCAAGCGCGACAGAATATCATTGCGCGAATCAGAAATCCCCTTGTCCGCAGCATCCAACCGAGATGCGACCGCGGCAACAGCAATCCCAGTGAGATTCTCCACGGCTGCGACTCCCTTTGTGAAAAATGGATCGGGAAGATACCTTGCCCATGGACGCAGTGCCGGAAGAAGACCGAGAGTTGAAGAGATCTCACCGCGTCGATTGATAGCCTCAACCGCCGAGGCGTATGAAATAGGCCCTCCCTCCACGAGTTGTGTCTGGGTCTCGTCTTTCCCCCGGTTGACCATGCCAAATGGAGAGCCAAATGCCAAATCTCCGATGATGTCAAATGCAAGATAGCTAAACCAAGGCATCGCATTGAATCGACCGAAACTTTCCTTGTCAAGTTGAGGCCGAGAAGCCGCGATACGGTCCAATTGTACGACCCAACGCCGCAGATTATCCACCATGTGAGGCTCAAACGCCGCAACTGATCTTGGTGAAAAAGCATGCGAGATAATCTTTCGCTTGCGTGTATGCTCTGCTCGATCGCGTACGTTAAACATGCCCGGCGTTCGTGCGACAAATGCTTCATAGTAATAACTGGGAGTGCCTCGTTAATGACCATTGCACTCAGCATATCCGGGTAATCTAACATACTCTTTCAAAAAACCGTTTCCGTGTCCGTAAACAATGTTTAGTGCAGATTCATCCGCAATAGACACATGATTGAACCCTATACGCACAACCTTGCCGTATTTTCGGTGTGCCGAGTCCACCGCGGCGTATTTCTGGCCACGCCGGGCACTTAATCCAACCCAGATGTTGCTGAATTTGGCAATAAATGGTCCGGGCACAAGGTATAAAGAACGATATGTCACAAAGTAGGGATATATGTAATAGACTGACAGCCATAGCGGAATGACCCCGGCAATGGTCCATGGCGAGAGCAGAAGATTCAAAAGAGCCATAGTGAAGAGGTCTGGTGAATTACGATGAACAGTTTAAACAACAGAATAATTCCTCAAATCCAACTTCATTCTGTGTGTTTAAATATATTCTAAATGCACTGGGCACTGTTGCTATCTCTCCGACGGAGGACATGCAACACCGTCGGAGATGAGATAACTGCTCATAATTGGGGGTGAGTTGATCTGCAGCTGAGGTAGAACCCCGCTAAATGTAATATAAAGCAAACAAAAGCGAAAAGCATCGAATAA